TCACTTGCGCTCTCTGTACCCCTGGAATATGTCAAAGCAAAATTGAAGGCACGCGGCTAGCAATTTGATTGGTCTCAGGTAGAAAAAAATTCTGACCAATCGATAGGCAGATACCTGGGCATTTGTAGATTACAAATTTCATGTTTATTGGTTTCCTCAGATACATTACAATGTACAAAATGGAGTACAGAGATGCGACACCCAACTACAAAGTCAGTCAATTTTACCGTTACGCGACCGAGCAATTCTTTTAATGTACATCAAAGTATCAAACTAGTCTTCTCGTCTCATCTATAAGGTGACGCACACTGAGCCTTCAATTTTGTCATGACAAATTCCAGGGTCACAGAGAGCGTAAGTGAGCCTAACCCCTGGAATATCGCAGATGGGGGGTGGGGTGGGGGTAAAGTAACCATTGTTGTACGTTTTGACAGACAGCAGGTTGTACAATTACAAATTACAGTTGAAGGAGGAGAACATTTAGACATTTTAGCCTGTGTGGAAAATGTAATGAGCGAAATTCAATCTTGTATGTGATTTTTCAAATTTATTTATTGGAATGCATGAACAGTGTGATAACTCTGAGGGTAACAACACCAATGTCAATGTATGGCTAAATGACAAATGACATCACGTCATTATACAATGTAACTTATAATCTGAGCGCGCTTTCATTCTCGGACTTCAATCAAATAAAAAATACGGATTATTTTAATATATGCATGTTATTCTATTAATTAATATGTGCTTTATAACTTACATGTACATATCATCGTTGATATTAAGGTAGCAGATGGTACTTATACGGGTAGCGTTATTTTATCACATTTTTCTTTCACTTCTTAACCGGTATCTTTACGTTCAACTCGATCATTGTCAAAATTGGTTACACTTGTCATATACAAACCGTGACCATATGAATGTCAAATAAATAGGCTTTACATATGTCTATTTTCATTCCGATAGCTCTGAAAGCACGTGTTTTACAAAGCCGGCCGTGTGCCACAAACGTCAAACCAGTAACGAAATGACGTTAAAAGTGTGTTACACTGTTGTGCGTCAACATCTGACGTTACGTCATAGTCTTCTAAATCATTTTAAAATAATGCAAATAAAAAAGGCGAGCAATTTTCCCCTTGTTTTAGTCCGACATTGGAAGTGAACATTTCTGACATTTCATTCCCATTTCTCACACAAGATTTCGTGTCAGAATACATGTTAATTAAAATTTAAAATATTTTACCAGTTATGTTACATTTGAGTATTTTTTGCAACAAGCCTATTCGCCACACCGAGTCGAAGGCTTTTCTAAAGTCAACGAATGCAGAATATAGTTTTCTACCGGAGGATAAATATAACTTTGTCAAAACGTGTAAAATAAAAATGTTGTCTAGTGTTGAGTGACCTTTTCTGAAACCTGCTTGTGCGTTACTTATGAGTTCAATTTCATCAGATAGTTTGTATAATCTTGCATTTAAAAATCGACGTAATAACTTTTCCCAAGCATGAGACCAACGTAATAGCCCTGTAATTATCCAACTTTTTGCGATCACCTTTGTTCTTATAGATTGGATTGATTATTCCTGTACTCCAACTTTTCAGTATTATACCAGTGTCCAATATTGTATTAAACATATCAACATACACAGATAACATTGTGTCAACCGTATCAATACCACAAGCTTTGTTATTATTCAAATGTTTTATAGCATGAACAATCTCATCAGTAGTAATTCTATCATTCAAAATATTATCATACAAACATTCATTTACAAGTGGAATTTCAAATTCCTCCTCTGTTTCATTAAGGTTCAATTTTTTAAAATAATTATGTAGTTCGTCTATTGTCAGGTCAACTTTACGACGACCTTAAGGCTTATCAATTCTATTCAAAATGTCCCAGAAGGCCTTTGGTTAAATTTGGAAGCTTTCCTCATTTCATGTTCAATATTTTCTTGGAACTTTTTATAGTTACTATTAATGAGTTTTATGTACTCTCTACCTTTTTTTGTTCATTTTTCCGATTTCTTTGGCTTTTAAAGTTATTGTAATCTCTCTTAGATTCATGAAATTCTTTCCTTTTTATAACACATTCACGGGTAAACCAAGGTTTGTCCTCTTTGGTGAATACTTTTTTCCCATTGTGAACGTTTTTGGTTCCAAAAACTTCTCTTGCTGGGTTCAAAAACAATTCAGCAATGTTATTTACTAAATCGTTTACATCGTCTCGCGATATAATCTCAATTGGAGACTCATGTATATTTTGAATTTTTAAATTAATTTCGTGTAATTTGCCCCTATCGTCCATATGTACTGTAGTTACGAAATCAGTTTGTTTTTCGTTGACCCATTTACCGATTCTCTCAGTAAGATGAACCGGTTCCCCGTTTTTGTATACTGTTTCAGAATATTGAATAGTAAATTTTAGTCTACAGTGCACGTCTGAAATCAAAGGGTCAAAGTCTAAAACTCCAAAGTGACACAAGAGAGGAAAAACATTGGACGACACAATCAAATAATCAACTAAGCTCACATATTTACAAGTATTCTTACTAATGAATCTATCATTGCCGACTCTACCGTTTGCAATGTATAAATTATTATATTTACAAAAATCAAGCAGATTACGATCAAATGCATTTGGTCTTGCTAGGTATTGACTCGTTCTTTGAAGCGGTACCTCAAAACGGGTTAACTCTTTGTAATCATATAAATACTCATGTAAATCGTCATTTTCATGTATATTCAATGTTTCAATTAAATGTTCATCTGGAACGATATAATCGTCACAAGTATTAGTTCTGGCATTAAAATCTCCGATAAGTATAACTTTTTGTCATTTTTGATTAAATTAATCATTTCGCCCTGAATATCTAAGAATGCTTCATTAGAAGCATACCTGGACGTTTCGGGGGGTACATACACACAGCCCACTAATAGAGTGGATATGTTATTACCTGCACGTGCCTCTACCCACTGGACGAACTCGGATGGATATTTTTGAAATGGAAGTAATGATTTATACTTTTCTTTAAATATTATAATTATTCCGCCAGATTTATTTTTTGTGTTAGGTCTGTTTTTAGCTACATAATCATACCCGTTTGGCATTTTAAGAATGTCCAGATTGTCAGTTTTAGTTTCAGCTAATATAACGACGTCGTGAGACTTCACAATATCAGAGAATTCTGGTAACAGGATTTTAGACCCGATACCATAAATGTTAACAAACGTGAATTTTAAGTTCTGTACCTCCTGACCTCTTGTGACGTGATCCTAGTGGTGCTCATTGTTCCGTCCCGGGGGTAGGGCTCCGTTGGGCGGGTTCCTTGGGGGTGGGGCTCTATAGGGTTCCCCATTGACGTATAACGTGTCGTAACTGAGGGTAGCCCTATTGCCACGGCGCTTCTGTTCCCTCATTATTGGGTACAAAACGGCTCGTCTTTGGGCAATTTCAGGAGGTTATTGCCGCTGAACACTGAACACTGAACTCCGGTTTATCTCGCAGCTTGATAGGAGCTTCTTTGAGGACTCGTTCCAAGTCATTGTAGTTGGCAAATTTGGCAATTATGCTACGAGGCTTGCCGTCACGTCACTGTCTCAGGCGGTGTACGTTGTCGAATGATATGCCGTCGGCATTATCTACTTGTAATTGATCCTGAATAAATTATCTAAGAACAGTTAAAGTGTTTTGAATTTGACCCTCATTATCCGGAAAACCCGAGAACAGCAGGTTATATTTCATCGAATGCGTCTTTAGTTTCAGGAAATTTTCTTTCATGTCGTTGTTGTCTTTCCTTAATTATTTTTTTTTCTCCATAGAGCAAAACGTTCCTCTAAATTGTAGTGGTGCTCCTCCTGTTTTTCATTTACACTTTTGTTCTGTTCCGCTATTTGTCGCACCTCTATTTTTTCTTGTTGGAGGTTTCTGATACATTTTTCAAAATTGTTCACTTTTTTCATTCATTTGATCAAGTAGGTCTGGTTTTGGCAGGATTTGGTCCAGCTGTGCAAGTCTCCCATTAAGATCATTCATTATATGCATGACTTGTGGAGGATGTGAGAGAGAAGGAGGAGGAGGCGGCGGTGGGGGTGGCGGCAGTATAGGAGAGCTGTTGAGGTAATGTCCGTGTAATGGAGGGCTACCTCGGTGTACGGGTGTACTATACAGGCTACCTTGAGATATCTTGGTACAGAAAAGAAGATATCTGTTTACCAGGGGATATCTCTGTGTAGTACATTTGTAGTTATCGACTTCCTGTTTACCTAAAGATGTCCAGGTGTAGATAGTGCCCTACTTCCTGTCTACCTAAGGAGGTAAAGGTGGATATAGTTCCCTATAGTTCCATGTGCAGATAATTCCCTACTTCCTGTTTACCTAAGGATGTCCATGTGCAGAAAGTACCCTACTTCCTGTCTACCTAAGGAGGTAAAGGTGGATATAGTTCCCTATAGTTCCATGTGCAGATAATTCCCTACTTCCTGTTTACCTAAGGATGTCCAGGTGTAGATAGTGCCCTACTTCCTGTTTATCTAATGATGTTCCAGTGCACATTGTTCCCTACTTCCTATTTACCTCGGGATACCCAGGTGGAGGAAGTGTCCTACTTCCTGTCTACCTTAAGATATCCAGGTACGGATAGTGCATTTACTTTTTGTTTACCGAAGTGCCCTACTCCCTGTTTACCTAAGAATGTGCAGATGCAGATAGTGCCCTACTTTCTGTTTACCTAAGGATGTGCAGATGCAGATAGTGCCCTACTCCCTGTTAACATAAAGGATGTGCAAGTGCAGATATCACCCCACCTCCTGTTTAATAGGTGATCACTACGTACTTTTGTGGATATATCGTTGAAAGCTCTAAACTGTCATTCAGTATCCTTCCCCTACTCATGATAAAACACACATGCATACTATTCAAATCTGACTGGATACGCCTCACTGCCTTTAACAAATATATAAATAGCTATAGATAGTTTCACATAAAGGAAACACACGGCCTCAGTCATCAGTTTTTGACACAATTTCGGGACGTGAACCGCTTAAAGCGTTGTCACTAAACAACACTCCACACTATGGCGTCTGACGGCAGCGTCGTTCCTCTGTCTATTAAGAAACGAATTATGCACACCGAAGGGAACTCCAATGCTGCGTTCGAAATTTCGGAAACTTCTCCGAAGCTGGTAAGCTTTCTGTACGAGCGTCCTCTTATGTAGTGTAAAATGTTAATGTAACATGCCCCAGGGAACTAAGCGTTACTATGTAATATGTTAGTACGAGATGTTTACAGCCGACAAACATTGCAGGATCGGACAGAATAATTAATGACGTTTTTCGTATGTGTCATAGTTACTGATGTCTTATATTTTGTTTTAACGTTTCTTCGACTTTTATTTTTGTCTTTGGTATCTATCGAGTTTGCATTTAACTTTTGCTCTTGTTTTTTGACACAATTATATGTATTTACATTGTATATATATTTGTATAAATATTATGGCTAAACACCATGTAAACTTACAATCATATACAAATTGCGTTGCATCTTCTCCCGCAAATACTTAAAGTTCCATGTCATATAATGTACCTTAAACCCTTTCAAAATGATAAGTTTGATAAGGTGGCATTATAGCCTTTCATTTTGCTATAATTTCTCCTCCGTAGTCTGTTGTTTTATCGTGTCGAGTTTGAGGTCAGGTTTTTGTTCTTTAGTGTCGACGCTACGGTACACTGTATGAACGCCAACGTCTGGCTATAGACTGGCAACAATCTGTGTTTAAAATATACCTGTCTGTTCTGTTTGTTGTCCATTCATTGATGCTTCAGTTCATCTTAAATAACTTTAAACTTTCGGTCCATAAGTTCACACACATTGCCACGACGACCAATAGCACCGGGGAATTAGTTTAAACCCTATTCTATTCAACATAATATACATAAGTACAGGATTCAGAAAAAAAGTATTTCAATACTTATATGAATCTGTCTCCTTAATTACTGACAAGCGGATACCAACACAACAAAGCTAAACAACATCGTAAGAACTATACATGTAATAAAGGGCAAAACTTGAACCATAAAAGACACAGAGAGAGGGTGGGTCGGTGGGTGAGTGGGGTCTTTAATCGTGACTTAGTGCACTGTAGTTGCTACATACAATAGCATACTATAAGATAAGTGAACCCAACAAAGGTAAAATAAATGTTATAAATCATGACAAAGGTGATGTGTGACTCACTGGGACTTATGTGACAGTAGCACTGTTAATTTGTGAAACGTGTGGTTTTAGAAGTGAAATGTTGGATACAGCGGAAAACGCTTTCGTTCTCATCAATAGATTCATTTGGATCTCCGCACAGAAGCATGTCAAAAGTGTAATTTTCAGGAAAATGTATAAAGCATTCATTTCTTATATCTGTATAACTAGGACAAGAAAGAAGAAAGTGGTCATGTGCCTGTCTACATGAGCATTAAGGACTATCGACAAGGTCACGACTAAACACGTGGGCATTTAAGGAGCTCAGTCTAGCCACAGGGGCACGTTACAAATGTCTGAAATACACACATATGCTATACTGATATGGGTCACAACACACATAAACATACACAAGGGAAGAAGCTTCGTCAGAGCACTACCGGTACCGCCAAATTTCAAATGAAGATTTTCAACACTTACTTTTGTTATTTTTTTCAGCGATCTGCGGCGATAGCTTCGGTTTGAATTGTAATTAAATAATCCATCATGATCAATTGTGTAATCATTCGTCTAATACATCCAATCAAGCACTTTTTCGGGGAATTTGCAGTTTTACCGCCATGATTAACTTGAACCTGACCCGGAAATGACGAGGGCTTTTCGACATGTCTTTATACCATACTGCCAAATACTACGGAAAGTCCCAAGGCCATCCGAGTAGAGTCTAGTCCCGCAGCAAATAATTTTTGGCGCAATTGTTTAAAACATCATGTCTGGCATCGTGTCCTGGTATGTGTTTCACATTTACATAGTCCAATATTTTTGATACGGTAACTTTTAAACGTAAAATGCAAAATACGTACCAGGAAACGATGCGAGACATGATGTTTTATACATTGCGCCAAAAATTATTTGCTGCGTGACTAGACTCTACTCGGGGGGCCTTGGGACTTTCCTTAGTATTTGGCAGTATGGTATAAAGACATGTCGAAAAGCCCTCGTCATTTCCGGGTCAGGTTCAAGTTAATCATGGCGGTAAAACTGCAAATTCCCCGAAAAAGTGCTTGATTGGATGTATTAGACGAATGATTACACAATTGATCATGATGGATTATTTAATTACAATTCAAACCGAAGCTATCGCCGCAGATCGCTGAAAAAAATAACAAAAGTAAGTGTTGAAAATCTTCATTTGAAATTTGGCGGTACCGGTAGTGCTCTGACGAAGCTTCTTCCCTTGTGTATGTTTATGTGTGTTGTGACCCATATCAGTATAGCATATGTGTGTATTTCAGACATTTGTAACGTGCCCCTGTGGTCTAGCGTGCACGTGATGAATCTGGTCGAGCCGTTTTCCATAATTATAATAAGGGGTGACTGTAAGGGAGTGTCTGTGTAGGTAGTTTTTCAGGTTACTTATTGAGGGGTTATTTTTAATATTTGGGGGTAGTGAGTTCCACAGGTCAATAAAAGAAGGAAGAAAATATTTCTTGTAGACGTTAGTCGGGGAATTATGGGGGCCATTCTACATTATCCAAACAAAACAAACTATGCAGTCTTCCATTTCCATATCAAGGTCGGTATAAGTGATTAAAGGTCTATATATAGGTCTGTATATCATCGAGACAAGATTTTAATTTGCGATACTCTGCCGTCTTAAGCGTTCCCATACAAAGTGTGACACTTGTAGGTTATCTGAGATTCGCCCCGAACAAAGGGAGTCAGTCCACACAAACTGTCTCCTCCGAAAGTATCGGAGGGGAGACTCACAGCATGTGTTAAAAAAGGGCCATAAGAATAACCTTGTAGCTGAAATGTATGTCGCTGAAAATACAAACTTTAGCTACAGATATTTTGTTCGTGAACACGTATTTCATGTGTAGCGCATGCCAAAGTTAATTACAGCTATAAATTAAAGGCAACTATTTAACCCCGAGAATACGAAATAAGAAAGAACATATACAAATGATAATATAAAAGTCAATGCAGAATACGAAACAACGTTAACGTTTTTACATCACCTTTAGTCATTTCGTCCATTTTATGATTCAATGAGAACCCATGTCTAAAGAGTTCCGAAACGTCTATAAATAGCAGACGTGTTTTATTAGTACAAGCGTTCAGTTTATGGCAGACGTCGCTGTCCTTCACTTTTATCTAACAAAGTCACAAAGGACGGACCGTTCTTACTGAAAGAAGCTTCATGATTATTAACGAAACAGGTAATTACTCATAGGTATTAAACGTAAGTTTTAGCACGTGCCGTAACACACGTCACCTTTCAGCTTGAAAACTTTATTGAAGAAGTGAGGCAAAACATCATTTACTATAAAACTTAAATCGGTGGTTATTGACATTTACGACGCACTGTGAGAATATAATGGATGTCTAGCTACGCAATTCCAACTGACTTCTAAATAGCGTCACACTCTGTGTGTATGCATAGCACTTGGGTTTGTTTTCGTTTTATTTTTTAATTCTACTCTTACAATCTTTTCAAAATACTGTAACCAAAATCTCAACTATTTAATTCTTGTATAGAAGATGAAAAAGAACCTGACGTGTAGGGTAGCAAAAACATATGATAATTTTATAAGATTGAGTTTATTGTTGTAGAATCCGAACCAATATGTCATACTGTAAACGCCTAGAAAAACATTAATTTTGTTTTATTGGTGCTTATTGAAAATACCCACTTGTCCGTCGAGGTTTGCAGGCCCTCTCCTGATTCGGAAAATATATGTAACACTTGGAAACAACAGACAACCCATTTCGAAATTAACAAGTGATGCAGGTGTTTAGATTAAAATGAGATGTAGACAAAGACTATCACGTTTAAATCGGAGCAGCGCTGCCACTGTAGATTCAAAAGACTAGACGTGTTTACATCTCAATGTAGATCCAACAGACACGTTACCTCCCTGTATCAGACAGCCGCTCTGTTGTCAATGCATCGTGTTACGGTTGACATACGATCTTAAAAGCCTACCCGTAAGCGCAAGTTTCATTGTAAATAATGCAGTCACTTGTAGGTCCCTTTATCGGGATTTCCTGTATACTTAACGTCGTGAAATTCTAAATAAGTGTTATTCACCATTATTTTCGCTTTTCAAAGGATATGTAATTGATATGAACCGATCTATTTTAACCGGTTACAGTAAACAAGTTGTTATGACATTTTGTTAAATGACAACACTTGGTTACATAGTTTGTATTTAAGGATCCCTGTTCCACTGAGGGAAACACAAGAGAGTTCCACTGTACTTTTCGTACAAAGAGTAGCCTCCCTTTAGTTTCGTGTTGCATGTATATATAAATGTAGTGCGGTTTGGTCAGGAGGAAGATCAGTTGGTTAGAGCAAGAGTAATGCTCGGAGCTCCCGGATTCGAATCCTGGTATTCGTTACAAATTCTTCCACATCGTGTAACACAGTCGTTGACTTTTGGTTCTTGCTTCAACTTTCTTATTTTCTGAAAAAAATCCGTAAGGTATGTGCTTTTCTTTCCAGAACAGATATATCAAAGCTATGGTCATGTCTTTCAAAAGTTCTCATTTAATAATGATTTTTTTTCGGTAGTGGTACGTGGATCATTAAGATGTTACACTAGCTTACAGTTTCGTCACACTATTACTCATCCAACATGTCCTCATTTTCTTCTCTCTCCTCTTATATATGTTACTGCTGTCGTACAAGGTAGTCGTACCGCATACATCCTGCCATAGCCAATCAAGTTGATCCACTATTCAGCCACCATCAACCCGGTTTTCCCACTTACCAGCCACCGCCAATCTAGTTGTCTGACTATC